TTGTCAACAATTACTGAACTAGAAGTCTCCAGAACTAAAAATAAGGACTGTTATAACTTTAACTAAATGGTTCCCAGAACTTACTGTTCCAGCATATCATGCTTTGCTACTTGCAAAATAAGAGAGATTTATAATTCTTACTACCTGCTAAAAAAAAATCATTAGTGGGAGGGTTAGGGGAAAGAAAGTAGATGATTTTTTTTTTTTTTAAATCACTCTTTGTCATCAGTATACCATTGCCAATGGAGCAAGTAAATGCTCTCTTTTTAGAAAGAAAAATTACCCCTTACTTGGTGAATAGATTTATTTATTTTTAATGACATTTTGTGGAGCTGGGTAAAACACCAAACCAGAACACATGCCCAGAAGTAAAGGGCACTAACCAACTCTCAGTTATGTCACTGGAAACCTTCCCATTGACAAACAGGAAAAGCTGGCTCTGATCGTGAGCACCGTTCTGGAGTGTACAGGTAGGACACAATATGAGAAGGAAAATGTAGACTAAGTATATGCCAGTACAGCCAAATGCATTCAGTGAAGAGTTATATGATACAGTAAAAATGAATGGCAGTAAAATATAGCCATGCTTACTCTATAGCAACAGTATAGAAATAGAATAATTTGAAGTAGAGGAAAAGAACTAAAAATAGATACTCTTAGGGAGGAAGTAGAATGTGACAATGAGGAGGAAATGACCATGCTAAAAAGGGTTATTGACTGAGAATGATTCAACACAGAGCTGTATATTTCCACTTAAAAAAGACAGTGTTTAGAGCCTTCCTCAAAAAAACCTATACACATTCAAGACTAACACAGAATAACTTTGAAACAGAAGAGCAAAATTCCCTTGAAGGCAGCAAGAGCCTTAATTTGCTTCAGAGCAGCTGTTGGTTCCCAGTTCTTGTGGAGGGTCCCCCCCCCCCCGCCCCGCTCCTTAATTGTTATGGAGGTATTTTCACAGTCTACTCAGAAGGTGACTCTTCCCGGGGCATAATTTTCCACCACCCACAGTCAGCATGACTAAGTGAAACTCTGTTACTGTTTAGAGATGGATAATTTGCCAAAATTCAGTGCATGGCTGCTCTACAGTTGCTTTACAACTGATTCCATAATCATTCCCACCAGAAAATTACTTTTGTTGGTGCAGGATCTCAGTTGCTGCTCCTTGGGGTTGGTAAATTAGAGAAAATGTTCCCTTCTCCCCCTCTCAGTGACCCATTTGTTAGGAGAGCATTTTCTGTAGAGGCCCGATATTTTGTCACACCTGAAAAAGGGGTGTGTGGATGGCATTGCATCACCTATCGCAGGGTAAAAGATCATGAAGCTTATGGTTCAGAGCAATATTTCCTGTCTTTTCCGTATTTTAATCCCTTTGGAAAGATGGAATGAGATGGGGGTGAGAGAGGGGTTCAAGTCTTCTCATTTTAGGATCAGGCCCAGGAGGCAAACTCAGTTTTAGGCAAATTTGTAAAATATAGGTTCTACTCTCCTCATTAGAGCTGTTCACAGAAACAAAGAAAAATGTATTTCCTTTGATGCTGGGTGCCTGTAATTGTAACTAGATTTCTGACACTGAAGTACTGAATTTGTACTTTAAAAAAAGTTTACTTGTTCAGTCGCCTGTTGCTCATGAACCTGACTGAAGACTGCTCTTAGAATAAAGGGCATCACAGAGGAAAGACTTCTCTTCTACTTAGGGGAACTATGGTTTGATTTCTTTTAACCGTGATTTAAATTAGTTAGACCCCTCTGGCCAAAATCATCCCTGCTCTAACTCCTCCTACTCACTTCAGAAGATGAATGGATGAATGTAGTCCCTTGTGTTTGTAAGCCATAGTTAAAAGACTCTGGTTTTCCTTAGAGAAAGAGAGAGGCTTTTTAGGCTATTCATGAAATGTGGTTTATTATTCCTGGACTATAGAAACCTCTGAATTAATCCAGAAAATTAAAATCTTCATACATTTGTATCACCATTGTTGGTTTTGCTCTAGTTTAATACTTTTCTTGTCATCCCTTTTTGTTTCTTTTAATATAAGTTTTATTTTCTCTGCAAGAGCACATACCTGGAACACCTATATTTGGTTGGAGCTACCACCTGTGATCGTATGCGTGCGACATGTGACTGGTAAATCCATGCATAATGTTTTTGAGCTCTGCTGTAGCTGCAGATAAGAATTCCTTTTTGGTGAACGATTGATTTTCTCCAGGTGCTGTAGAATCATAGCGCTGCAGGTTAGAATTAGTGGCCTCCAAATGCCGAGGACTAAAATACACCCCTAACTCGAGGTGATTTTCTTTTTTTCTTTTAAAAGAGCAGAAGATCAAGCCATACATGTGATAATGATCACAATTTAACTAACACTTATCCCAGCTGCAGTCCAATATCTACTACTTCACTGTTAAGGAAAAATGAAAATAATATTCCTAAAAGGGCTGGTGTATCTCTTTCTCTTTGCAAGGCTAAAAGTCAAGAGCAAAATGGATTTTGTTGCACGTCGAGCCTGAGAGTAATTGTGGATAGACCTGAGCTGTCCCTATGTGTACAAACACTGAAATCTAAAGTGTGGGGAAATCCTATGCAAAAAACACTGGAACTGGCTGGATGTGGGTCAGGTTGGGTACACATACTAAATAACCTCAACTCACCTAGCGTTTATCGTAGGCTGTTTATGCTTTTTTTTTTGGGTAAGAATGAGCTTAAATTATTATTCTTGCTGGTTTTGTTAATATGTTACTTAAGAGCAGAAAAATCCTAGTTCCCTGAGGTAGAAACCTGTTTCTGAGATTGTCAATCCAAAATGTGGGATTATATCTTTTTTCTAGGCTGGATTGGCAATAATTTGGGGAATTTTTCACTTTCTGCTGCTGTCAGGGGCATGGTTCACCTGCCGAGTGCATACAGGTGTAACCTAACCTCTGTACAGGTGTGCCTTAGTGTCCTTGATCTGATTCTTCATGCAGTTCAGTCTGCTTTGGGTTTAATATAGAGCTATGAAGAAAAAAATCAAGTACTTTATTATGCATAGAAGGTTAGACTGGGTTATTTGATGTTTCCTTCCGGGCTTAAGTTCCTTAAACCTGTACAGTCCTTAAAAAACTGCATTCTTGTCAGGTTAGGTTAAATCACTGAAAACTCTGAGGTCAGTGTTCTATTATCAGAATCAGATCACAAATTTGATGAACTTTTTACTATGTAGCTACTACTAAGATCTAAGTGGGTAAATAAAGGAAAATAAGAATTTTGAGAGTCTCAGGGAAAGCGTTGCAAATGTTCCAGCAGTCTATGGAAAAGAATCATTAGCAAAGGCAAGATTGTAGAGAACAAACTCCACAGTAGATGCCTGAATATTTAGGATGTATTTGTTCAGAATCCTGTAACTCAGTTAAGATGGTTTAAATTTATACTGGAAGACCCTATTCCGCACTGAAGAGAAAAGTTAACTAAGAGCTGGTCTAGATTAGCATAGTGATGTTCAAATATCCAATTACTGAGACAAAAAGCTGCTGTTCATAGAGCAGGAGAAAATAAAAGCAAATTGCGTATGCAAGACAAATCCATGGTCCTCCACCCGGAAAATACCTGCAGGAGATTCATAGTACTTATCAGAGTTCAAAAGCATGGGATGGATCCCTTGGAAAGGAAAAAGGAACTTCCTTACTATCCACTGAAAATGCAAGTATCAATCCAAAGATGTGAATTTTGCATTTTAAAAGTATGAGTTAGTTTTCAAGAATTCTGTGGAATATGACATACTATATAATTAGGTTAGTACAATTATCCTGAAGTCACTTACGAACATCGCTGACAAATACCACTCTTGGAAGTGTGATTGTGAGAAGACACTCAGTGCTTCTGAAGTGGCTTCTTTAGCAGTACTTGAGCAATTGACATTGTAGAGTAATAAGACACCATCTCCACACTATCAAGAATTTACCAAGTGATTATTTCTTGAGCTCTAGTTCTGTATAAATATTTAGAGGCTTTGGTAGTGCAGTCATATTTTGTACTGTAAGGAACATATCATGATTGCCATTGCTCAGCAATGGGCGTATTTTTGTGGGACTTTTCAGGTAGATGTTGGAGCACTTTGCCAGGCAGATGTGATGTTTATTCTCTTGTAGTGCCAAGCTGGCCAGAAGCCTTGTGGCTGCATTGTGGAGCCTGAGAAAATATACTCTGCCTTTCAACAGGCCTTATTAGCTTGGGCTCGGTGCCATGCTGACTGTGGCTCTGCTTTGGAGCTGATTCACGCCCAGCTGGCTGGGACTGCAACGAGAATTTTCCTCAAACACAGTGTAGACTTACCCAGCATCTCTCACTACCCAACAGCCCAGTCCAAATCCCAATGAAGTCAAAAGAAAGGTTCCCATTTATTTCAACAGTTCTTGGATCAGACCATGTTACAAAAAGGTTTCTGCCCAAATGCGAGAGTACAGAAGGCATTCGTAAGTAAGACTGAGCTTAGGGTGAGTATATCCTTTCTATGTCATGCTGTTCTGTTGAGTGATTTTCTTCCTTGTTACAATGTTTTATCTTATTCTCTACAATTACAAACACTGCAGTACCACTCCACTTTAGCGTTTCATCCATGACTATTTTTAATCTAGTTTAACCTGTTTACCTACCTGTGGCTAATACATTCTGAACTGCCAGCCAGGTTTTAACAAATCTAACACAGGAGTGGTGGTCTCAAAGATAGCAAGTTGCTAGAAGTTTCATGAAAAGAGGCAGCGCAAGTAGACGTGAGGAAGAGAGAGAGACCTAAATCAATGCTTGTTAGTGAAGGAGTATCATTGTGCTAGGTTCAGAGCATCAACATGGAGATACCCATAGAGAATTTTGATGAGAATTTATTCAACCTGGAATAATCCAAGGGATAAAACACAAATCCAGAAAAGATCAGGCATAAATATGGAATAGATACAAGTTTCCCCCCCTACTTATTTAATACATTTTCTGAAGTATCCATATAGTTAATCACGGATGTTCTTCTCATAACTTCAGTAGGTATGGAAATAATGAAAAAAATTTTTAAATGTTAGGACAGTGAACATTCAAAAGTAATGATATTGGGTCCACACAGCTGGAAGATTCACCTAGTATTGCTTTGTTGACTCTGTTGGGTGGGTGAAGGTGATGAGGGTTAACAGTATGATTATTTTGGCTTCCAGCAGTGAAGTGAAGGGCCAGTAATTCTTCTGCTCTTCCAGGAATCTAAATGAAATAATAATAATTATTAAATATATTACTTGAAACATTTTCATAACAGTAAGTATGGTATAATGAATCTTCCAGTAACCCCATAAAAGAATTCTCATAATTATTTTGTTTTCAATTTTCATGTTAAATAGTGATGAGTAGATTTCCGACTGTTTGAAAGTTACTTCATGTAAGATCTTAACTTGATGCAAAGTTATAAAATAAAATTTTAATGCCTCTATTTGCCCCCTTTCCATACTTCATGCTACTTTGTTTTTCTTACGTTTTCATCTTACACTTACCAAATTCTTATACACTAAGCTGTACAAAAAAGAGTAAATACAATTATGCTTAGCTAAACTATTTATGTAGTGGGCATCCAGATGAATCTGTGCATAACTGGAGTCTTTACCATTTTATGTCTAGGTTTGTAAGTGGTTCTATTGAAATATATGTGATACTATGTATGGCCATAATCTTGCAGTGATGTCCTGGAATCTTTCCAGGTAAATGCACCATTATCACGGACACTGTTGGAGAGTTAGGATCCAATTGAAAACATGAGGTAGCAAAACTGTTGATATAACTGAACCACAAATGTAACCTTACTAGAAGTGACATGTGATTGTAAAAACTCAAAGTGAAATCAAAATAAAAACGTTATTTTTAATGATACCTTCTAAAATGTGAGACAATCTATAAAGTATATGAGTAAATTACGGTGATTAACTGAGGTAAAGTTTTTAATATTTTTTCACAAACATATTAAATTACTATTTTAAAAAAACAAACAGAACAAACACCCTTTTCTGCAAAAGTGAAACATATCTGTATTAATATAGTCTATAATGTATTGCCAGTCTAAGCCACTAGATTTCTTTGATTGTACTTTGGGATTCAATAAATTGAATTTTTAATATAGCGAAACAAAATTCTATTTCTGACGCCAACCACAAGTGAGGGGAAAATAAAAAACAAACCCTGCTCATGATTTCCGTATCAAATTTCAAACTGCGTCATTTTCTCTTCTAGCATTTTTAAGTTCTTAATTTTGCAAATTTTACTGTTAACTAGAGCGGGTCCTGGGTAGTCTGGCTACTTACAGGACATAACTTCAGAGTAAGGCTTTTGAGCCTCACATTTAGGCAAAACTGGCCTTTGTAAAAAATCCCTGCCAAAATCTACAATATCCCTCTGCATGCACTTCCACTGGCAGATTGTCCTGGTTCCCTGGGGCAACGTGCATGGTGTCTCTTCAGTGACTGAGGGCCAGGGGAAGACCGGACAGCAAGCATATAGCCCAGAGTAAACTTTACTCACCTGAGAGAGCTAAAAATTATCTTCCGTGAGCTGCTTTTAGACAAATTGAAGCCATTTCAGTGCAAGAAATGAAGACTGACCTCGCCTTTTCCCAAAAGATCCTGGAGACTTGTATTAAAAACGCTCTTGTTGGAGTTCAGATCCCAGGAAGTAGAGAAGCAACTTGAACCTGAAGTCTCCCACAGGTGTTGCAACATTCGGTTACTGGTGTGGAGGAAGGGTAGAGTATCTCCACACTTCGCCATGTCCCTAATGTGGGGAAAAAGGCCTTAGTAGCAAAGGAACTCGGTGTGGCAGCACACAGCTCCTTGTGGGCAAGGCAGCGGTTCCGAGGGACCCTCCCTCAGAGTTCTAGTCATCCCAGCCCAGCTCAAGTGTGAACCCCAGTTGCTGGAAGGGGCGCCACAGTACTAATCGTCTGAGCCAACTAGTGCTCTTGAATCGATTTTAATTGAAAATATATTAAATCAATCACTCTGAGCAAGAGCCATGGTATGGTATGACAAACTCTTGCCTGAAGTTAATGTTTATGGCTAGTTTTAAAAGCTGCTGAAAAGCACAATGTATTGCTACATCCTGAAATATAATGGTGTCGGTGACTGCAGCTATAATAAACTGCAGAGCTTCCTCCCAACCTTTTGGATTAAATAATAAAAGAAAACGATTAAGTGGGCAATTCCATCATTTTTCTTTTGTTGAATAAAGCACTTTTTTTTTTTTTGGACTCTTTAACTGAGGCAGCCATGAAAATGAATGATCTGGCTTCACCTAAAATGATGGATAATCCTCCTAGCAAAGCATGACAATGATAGACAGGCATCTTCTGAAGCAAGAGGTAATAGAAAAGACTGACACTTTGATAGGCACCATGATGAACAAGCCCGCGGGGGCTGTGCGTTAATAAGTTAATGGGAACGTTCTCACGCTCTCAGCCCCTTCCATCGCCTCCATCAAGGCAGGGCTGTGCTCCTTTCACAATTCCTTCAGCATCAACAGAAATAACATAATAAATATAGGACATACATATTTTGTAATGCATTCAAGTCCTTTTTGTGCATATTTCTTCGTGCTGTACTAAAACAAAGAAAGAAAATACTTTCTCTACTTAAGTGAAATACAGCGAGTGCTCCCTCTACTCAGCTCTTGTTATAGCCTTGGCTTTACTTTTTCCTCCTCCATTTCTCAGATGTTGCTTGCAGATAATATTATGTCCTGTGGATACTGCACATGTTGGGTTTAATCTCATGTGAAATATGTTGTCATAGCTTCCTACTGAAGTTGGCTGTTGGCCATGTTCTGAGGTTGACTAAACTAGAAGATAGCCCAAGAAGTTTCGCTGACATCAGCAAAATATGAGGCTGCTTTCTTAAAATTTGCAGTGATACTATTTCATTTTCCCTTTCTTTCCTGTTACGTTTTTATCTCTCCCTGTTAGACGTCTGGTCAACCGTTGACAGAAATATTATAGTAACTGAGGTAAATGACTAATGAGGTAAATAAATGAATAAAGGAAAAGATAAGCACAGAGAAGGGAACTTGTATGTCTAAGTTCATGTAACATATCAGAGAGCTATCTGTCCTCCACTATTCTATACAGTGAACTATACCTTATCTCTTACTAATAACAATATAAACAAGTATATCATTACGACTTCTCATTCTAGCCTTAGTAGGTCTTCCTGTCAACTATGATGTCATATTCTTTTGATCTGAAATATGTTGACTGACTTTCTTTTAGAGGTAAAGCAAACATTATTGACATCATAGATTTTCTGTTTATTTATTTATTTCTAGCGTTCCCAGAGGTGGATTACCAATATGTCTCTATCTTCACATGACACATTTCTTTCTATCCTTAATAGACATTAATATTATTCAGATAAGATTGAGGTCTGTGTGAGTGTATTTTTTAAACACATGACAAGTGCTTTTCATTGATAGATTACCAGGGTATAGCAAAGTTAATATAAAATATCAACTTCAAAGAGAAAAGAGGTGTATTGGAATTGTAATGAATACAATTAAACTTTTTTTTTTGAATGGCCAAATGTTTACCTCAGTTATTATTTTTCATATTTGCTTGTTTAAGAAAAATCCTTCACTGAGTGTCTCTATTGCCTTGCCTTCACATACAGGAATATTGCTGGCTTTTAGTAGAACAGGGCTGAATAAACTTGTTACGGTGTTATGTAAAATATATAACTTGCTATATCACTAAATGTAACCCCAAAACTAGTGCAGACCAAGTTGGCTTACTTTACTCTCAGGTGTTACTGGACTTTGTAGCATATGAGTGCAGGCTGCTAAGCAGGAGCCGTGTGAAGCTCAACTTGATGCTATGGAATAAAATCCTTTGAAGATGAAAGGAGGATCACAAATTCCATTACCATGTTGTCCTTCAAACCAACGTGTCTGCTCCAAACATAGGATTACACCTATGTTAAAACTAAGTCAAAATACTGTCAGCGCAAAATACAGCACAAAATGTGTCCTTGTGGAGAGAGTGTGAGGACAAATCATACATCGGCAATGGTAGCAAAGTTGCTGCCTGTTACTTTTGGAAGTCAGCCAAGTCCCAGAGGATGAAGCTGGAGAACACAGCAGATTATGAAGTTCAATCGCTCTTATTTTTTGTCATGGAATATTGAATATTTATTTTAATCCGTTAGTTTTATAAATTAATCACTAAACGCTTGTGGAAGGTGTTAAAAGACACAGTCGCTGTTCCACGGAGCTTACACACTACATCAAACAGCAAGAGCATGTAACAAAATAATATACAGCTAAGCTGAAGAAGCATAATCCAGAACTAAACCTCATGGGTATGAGAGCTGCCTGTTTTCTGTCTGGTAATGAACTGGTTAATTTTCTCTTTTATTTATAGAGTGCAGGAGACTCATGTCAAGGGGCTATGCAAACCTGTATTAGCTAATGATTCATTAAAAAGACTTTATCCTTCTGGGACAACTCACTACATCATTGTTTTTCATCTGCAAATAGAACGACCGATTCTAACTTTGTAAAATGTTTAAAAGATGTAGAGCAAGGTTGGGGGTGGGGGGAGGATTCTGTACTTCTACAGCGCTAGCCTGCATGCGCTGTGCAGTACAAGGGAAACAGAGAGATCTGATGGCAGCTCGCTGCCTGTTCCGCATGTGCTGACCGTAATGCGGTAATCCTGGCAAGCCCACTGCAGCCCCTATCTCCTTGGCATGAGAAAGGAAATGGAGGGGTTGAAGCAGCCCTGTGATTTACCACTGCCAGGAAACGTGGAGCTTAGTGGCACTTTCAGCTTTACACAGATACTCAGGATTGTGGAGAATTAGTCAAGCAAGCTTCAAACGTAGACTTTTTTAAAGCTCATGCTTTTTATGCTATGTTTAGCCTAATAGGTTCATGACTGGGATTCATAGCTGTAACCACAATTCAAAAAAAAAATAATAATGAGCTGAAGATGTCTGTGTTTTCACAGCACGCTGGCATATATGCAATCTATTGATACCTGAAAACAAAAATGGTTTTGAAAAAAACCCACTACACCTTTAGTCCAACACACTTCCCAGATCACTGATTGTCCGTTGTTTTTTTTCTTTTGAAATGTGCCCTCCTTGCAAATTATCTTCATAGTTTATTGCTCTTTCCCACAGAAAAAGACAGATGACATTAAGCTATGTTTTAAAAGAACAGTGTGATCTGAATGTTAAATTCATTCATATGCCTGTACACACATATATCTCTACTTTAACTGCAAGGCATCTATTTCAAATGTACCAGAGGATTTTGTCATTTACGTATGAAAATTAATTCATAAATCTTTTTTATATTTACAGCAGTCCTGACAGAGCTTATCAAAAATGAGTTGCCTTATGGAACTATCAATGGATTAATAAAAAGAATCTGATCTAATATTCATGACACAAGAGATAAATGTAAACGGCCAGGCAACTTCATCTTTTTATTGTTAGAGAAATGTTGTTTTTTCCATAACTTTTCCTTGTAGATTTTGTTTTCTCATTTCATAACTGCTTTAACAAAAGAACTGTGCCATCAATTTTACTATATTGCATTATTCATATAAAAGAATATACACCAAATTCAATGCACAAAGGAAAGAAATACAAAGAATATACTGTATTATTATTCGTATAAAAACAAGAAAGCCTTCAAAGTCGCACTGTCCTGTTACATTTATGACACAATAATATTCTTCAACTGTGCGGTTCTTAATGTCCAAATGCATCCTGATGCCCAGTTGCTCAAAGGAAGGCTTAACAGCTAATTGTTTATCCTAATCATCCCTATTGCTTGATTTTGCTTTGAGACCCAAACAACTAATAAGGAACTTGGGCAAGGATCATCTTTATGTTCAGGCTTGCGACCTGAACTGCTAGCTGCTATGAAAGTTATTAGCTTGCTATAGAAGGAACATGCAAGTAAAGCAGTACCCTTATTAAGGGAGTGATTGCACTCATGCTGGGCTCTGCTGAACTTCCTGCCCTCATTTACCCGTTACCATTTACCTCCTTTTCTAGCAGCGAATAGATCTTTTAACAGAGCACATGTACCTTGCTGCTGGACATAGTTGGTAGGCCCATAATTCCTTGTCCTTTACTTCTTGCTCTTCTGCGTTTTCCTCTTTATTCCACCCATATGTACAGACAAGCTCAGATGGAGGAACGATTTGCAGATAAAAAGGTAACTGCCTCTCTCCCAACAACTTCCCAAACCCGCTTCCTGGTGGCCTGCTTTTGTGAGTGCTCTGTATTGCTGTTACTTGTTTGCTTCAAGGTAGTCATGGTGGGTGAGTCATAGGGGTGGGCTGCTGGAGGGTAACCTCAGTTCATGTACAGTAGTGGACCCGAGGTGTTTCCAAGAAACCTAGTAATCTCCCCTAGCTGGGTGCTTGGAAAATTGTTGAAATCTGTGCTTCGGTACTATACAACTTACAGCCTAGCACTTAATAAAATTTAGGGGCTAGATTCTCATCTGCCATGGATGCAAAGTAGTCAGTAGGCAGCTTTATTGTACCTAGAGTTCTTGTCCTTGATTGACCATCTTATCGTCAGTGTTGCTCTTAAACTCTTGCAGGTGCAACATTAAGCTTTTCCAGTCATGGACAGCATAAAGTGCTCTGCTCAGGTAGTGTTATCTTCCATTTGAAAGTAATTAGCATCCTCAGTATTGCAGATATACCATTTACTTACTTTCAAATTTAGTAGTATACTAAGGACAAATTACTTTCCAACAGT